TAAAATAAAATAACATGACACGTGCGAAAGTATCTTTATGTCAAACAGACAAGTTATGTACACAGCAAGCCTAKATTTATCAGCGACGTTGCGAATGTCTTCTAAGAATAGTAGGACAAACAATAGACTTCTCCARCAGGTTTTTATGAAYGACACTGCAGGTTATCACCAAGAGAGGATTGAAATATCAGGTCGAGGCTTAAAATCAGTACATTAAGGTTTGGCAAGGACATTATGACAATTCAGTCAATGCTGGAGATCAGAATCGATACAGTTTTTACTATAAAGAGACGTGTTGATACATGGAGTACAGTCATCTTGGTTTGYTGTTGATGTTAATCAACTTAACAGGTATTTTAATTCGGAAATGTGATTGCAGCGTTATTAACGGTCGTTTAYTTTTCTTAAACGTAATTTGGGTTAAGCCTTGGTTTGTCTATACTATTTTTTKTGTTTTTTGTCGGGCCAGTGTAGTCATTAACGTGTATGTCAGGTACACGCGGCTAGAATGGCAACATCGTTGATATATAATCGTTAGCTGTGACCATACCACCCGTCTTAATTGATTGAAAATGATTTTATAAAAGCGTACTCWATTTAGATATTAAATATTTGGATTGGTAAATAGTAGCAAGTAAATGACAATCTTGAAAATAACGGCAGTTGGCGTTTGAGTTACAACGAACATTTGGATACCTCATTAGATTSCATTGGATGAAAGGGGAGCAASAAAGGTACACTTTGACGGCGTTCGAGCATCCWAGACAATTCAAAATATTTATTTTTCCATATAATATTAAGGTTTTGGGCGGTCAATATTTTTAAATAATTTCTAATTCTCAGAACGATTTTATCTACATTAACAAAGCTCTTGACGTAACATTGCATTTCTTAGGGTTTTATGCTCTGATGCTAATCCAAATCATATCTTTTTGATTAATAATTAATCAAGAATGGACGCCTGCAAACTGAAGGGCGCTATACTTTGATTACTAAATCGCCGTCAGGCGAAATGATTTAAAGAGCAGAAATTAAATTAAGATAGATATATAGACTATTTTAATACTTTGAGAGCTCCCTACAGGATCCCGCAAGTCATCGTTTAGTGATCAATTATCGTAATATATGTAGAAATCCCCTTTAAACAAGTTCCAGTTATTCGCTGGATTTCAAAATGTATATAATCAATGCAAATATGTATTCAATTAATTTTCCTGATATTTTAACTAAAGAGATCACGTCTCTTCCAGGGATGTTGTTATTCTAATATTTGAATGAATATTTAYACAGCTGGAAATGTAATATTGCATTTCGTKGGAGACATAAGTTTTGACGGTGCTCCAAGCTACTATCACAAGCATGGATATTGTTCCTATAACAATACCTTTGCAAATGTAGCAGCTGTGTTGAAGCAGTCAGACCTTGTGATAGGGAACCTAGAAAGCCCGTTCGTGCGCGACGAAATGCGAAAAGATGCTTTTGGCGATCTTCCAGCACTACTCAGTGCTGAACCTAACAGCGTAGAAGCTTTGAGGTAAGTCCAAAACCATGAAATAGTCTTCGGTAACACAATGATATGGTTGGGTTGCTGTAAAAAAGAATGATAGATGTAGCTATAAAAAAGAAATTACAGCTATAAAAAAACTATTCTTTTTATTTATTTTTACTTTGATAAAGTGATCACCAGTTCTTTCTTTCCAGTGYTTATTCCTGGAACCATTAGCGTTGAAGCATCCGTCCTTAGTATTGTACTTGTAATATTTTGCTCAGGTTCGCAGGGTTAGACATTTTGTCATTGGCAAACAATCACCTGAATGACTACAAAACAAAGCCAGTCAATTTCACAGTAGAGATATTGAAGAATAATGGGATTCTGCCATTTGGCTATAGTTATGGCAGTCTTGAGAACGAAGAACCACAAGTAGGTATTATCCTAACAAATGCTCTTTCTTGAAGTGATAYATAAGACAAAAGCTGATAGCAAATCTGAACAAAAAACAACAACAACCAAAAAAAAAACAACAACACACACCCACAGCTTATCTTTGTTAACCAAAGATTATCATTGGTAACAAATTCCTTTTTTTTTCGAAATGGGTTCCTCATTTCTCAAAAATGGGTTGATGCTTAGTCATAAATCCTATAGTATTTCGATAACAAGATAGTTGTGCTATGAAAATTCATAGATAATAATGCATTTGTGGTAGGTTCGCTCTCACAACGACTAATGTATAAGTGCTGTATGGAAAATATTGGATCTTGGATATGAATGTGGTCATGCGCCCACCAAGAAYACGATAGACTAGAAATTAGTGACTCTCCAATGACCTAGATTACAAGACAGAAATCTATATGACTGGGTTTTTCCTTATCACGGTGTCAGTTGTGAAAAAAAAAATTAATGGAAACTTTAGCCAAACGTTCTACAAGAGTTTTTGAAGCACTTTTTCAATGTATGTCCATGTAATTACATGCCTGACAGATTTTCAGCATAATAGATGTTTTTTGATACGATCTTAATTACTCTGGACATTGGAATGATTTTGAACAAAATCATGATATCCTCTTTTGAATATGTATATTTCTATCAAATCATATARCTTGCAGCGTGGCATTTCTTTGATAATTGGGTTCGAAGTAGCTTGTATAATTTTTTTTTTGTAAGTCGGTGCTGCCTCTATATCTCTCATGATCTTTTGACGTTTATGGCCAAGTTCAGTCTTGGAAAGGTCATCAATAGATAGAATAGAAAAAATTAAATTTCATTCAAAGATATGGAAAATTAGCAAAAAAACAACAGTAAAAACCAGATAACTGCTTTAGAGGCTCAAGATATCTTTCCCAATAACACCTATGTTTATATTAATCACAGATAAATTTAACACCATGCGTCCGAACTGGAATATAATACATAGATATACTTTGTCTTTGCACYAGAATCCAGTAACGACCGAGGTTAATGGTATCAAGATCGGCTTTCTTGGATACTGTAAAACAATTCGGGAAATACCGGACCCAAACGAAGGAAATATCTGTGACTGCAACCGGAAACGTAGAGGGCTGGACGCTGGTCCAGCTATTTATAAAAAGGAAGCTGTAACACGAGATGTCAACGATCTTAAGGTATGTCRACAGTATGACTCTATTGTATTACCAGCAAAACTTYGTGCAATTTCGTGCAGATGCACTTGGYAAAAGTCAACTATAGTATTTGGTTTTGTCACTGAGTGAAAAACGTAAATTTTTTGACCTACCCTCAAACTTTGTGTACAGGCCTGTACAGGTAAACAGCTTTGGGGGAGCACTCTATATTAGGGTCGTCAAATGCAGTGTTGCCATGGAAATTGTATTTTGATTTCTGGAATTCAGTCCATCAAATTAAGTTTGAAGATTTTCTGAAAATTGAGCAAGTTCAAGAAAGCCGTGCTTACTTGCTTTCAAAAGATTTTCTTCAAACTTGCTCTGGTACATGTTWTCTAGTTTAACTCRCTTGATTTTTGAAATGAACAAGTGAGAATTTACTCGATGAAAAACTAAAAAAACAGTAATAAAGACGTTTTTACAGGTTTCTAGCTCTGTTAAAAATATCCATTGTATARACTTATGAACCTTTTACGTCAATACTTGATTTTCAATGGGATCAGTTCTCAAGAGAAAAATCTGSCATGTTTTGTCTCAATCATATCATACAAAGCATTGCGTATCCGGTACATGACTTAAAAACTTCAGGGGTTTATTTGGGGGATAACCCCGAAAGAAGACTCTTCTTACATTTGCTAAAAAATCGCAAACTCTAAAAAAGTGCTATAAAATTTTTGATATATAACGCGCGCTCTGATTGGCTGACGTCCGTGTTTATATTAGAGGACAGAGACACGGCTTACCGGCAAAATTTTCTTTTCGCTCGAAAATTTTTATAAAGAAATATAAAACGGCCGCTTGTGTTTCTGTCCTCTTATATAAACACGGTGGGAGTTAAAAATCTTGCTTCTCTCGTGTTTTTCGAACTCCCACCGTGTTTATATCAGACAACAGAGACACGCGCGCCGTTTCATATTTCTTAAACAAAGAATGAATACCATACTGATTTTTTACTTGGTACATATTGCTATAAATTACCTTTGGAGCATCCCTGAATACCCTCATATGTTACAAAACCTCCTTCAAGCCAAAATTCTTAATAATTTCACATACAGTCAAAGGTGGATGTCATAGTTGTCTTCATGCATTGGGGTACAGAGTATATAGCCAAGCCTATTAAACTCCAACAACGGCAAGCAGCACATCTAAAGTCMCTTGGTGTCCATGCTGTCATTGGAAGTCATCCCCATGTACTYRWAGGTCACACCCTWAAAGARCACACTCTRGTTGCATACAGTTTGGGAAATTTCTTGTTTGGACCTAAATGGAAAAACCGGGTAATAATCATTTGGATGCGGTAGCATTAGGTGATTTAAGTTTGTTTGCGATCCATTAAAATTTTGAAGTGGGGAAGGGGGGGAGGGGGGGAGGGGATTTTTTTATTACAAAAAAACATTGCAAGTGCTCGCTTGAAGTCCCCAAAAAATTCTTGCACCAACTAGGATCTTCCAACCGCCTCCCCTTAAAACACCACTTTCATTTGCCCCTTACTATGATTCAGAAAATTATTAGAGATGTTTTGCTCCTAAACACATGACCGGCTAATAGCTAAATATGGATTGATTCATTGTTCCACCGTGAACCACTAATATTAATTGTTCCGTTTTTGTACATGTCCTCTATTATTAGCAATTTTCCTGGAGATGTTATATATGTGCTTTGGAACATCATCTCTAATGTCATTAATATCGCTTTATTTTAAAGCGGTTTTACTTCAATAGAAATCCTTCTAAGAAGAAAGTACAACAGATTGAACACTACATGGCGACAGAAGGAAAGAATGACAAGACACTTCAATCGCGTATTCTTCGCGTGGAACTTAACAAGTAAGCTGAGTCAACCAGCTTTTATTAATGCATGGAATAAATCTGGTTTGTTTCTCTTTTTGGTATTTGGMATAATCGTGGAATGCTTGTCATCGCGACGGACTTGTGGATAGCAGAATCAATTGCGCTTGTTTCGAGCATTACACCAAGTTTGATCATCTTCGTTGATGGGTGCGAATTGGGTCAAATTTGCGAGTGATCAAATTTTAGAGTTAATAAGTAACGGTTTTGGAGGGCACTTGCAACACAGACCAGAAGGAAATATGAAGCGTTACCAATTCCGACATGATGGATGATTTATTGGTCAATGTCACAACAGAAACAACAAGCCGCAGCATCACTAATACCTCACTTATTTGAGAAGGAGTGCAATACTGCGAAAAAGATAGTMAACCTCCGACTTCGTGTAAACTTCAGTCGGTTTAGATCACAATCACTTCCGATAAACGTCTGATCTTCATGTATATCACAAAACAAAATGTCGTTTTAATAGATTTGAAGAAAAACTCAAAAGCAGTTTGAAGAGAAAGGTGAACAGGTATTGAAAAAAACATATTTGAAATGATATTTGATCTCTTTACCAGGAAAGGAGTTGTGCGAGCTGCTTACCTCCCCCTACGAATCATAATGAATTCAAAGACCAAGTGCTTTCAGCCAACACCAGCAAAGGATGACAAGTGGATTACAGTTTGTGAAAACGGCGATAAAGACTGCCTAAACTAAACTTGACAAAACATATTACGTGCATTACTTGATTGATTGTGTTGTAGCATTACATGTATAGGAGATATTTATTCAAACTTAMCACAAATTTCATGGACTACGCGCATAAAAGTTCAAAAGTACAAAATTCAATCGGGAAAGAAAGTAATAGAAGTGATTTGAAGTACGTGCATCGTTCTTTTTCCTATATAAAGATAAATATAGAGCACACAACTTCTGAGAAATGACTGTTGGTACGGCTAATATTAAAATTYCAATCACAGAATTAATTATCAAATTGAACAAGTATTATACATTGAATTCTTTTTCATAGATATCTATTTTCGCKAAAAAAGAAATTCAGCCTTTGGTTAGAATGGCGATGTGAATCAAAACCCAGCATCAARAWCTGGACCTTGTCAATCAAGCATCKCTAGAAATTCCAAAGAAATAAAGAAAGCAAATTGTTTTCGATAAAAGTACACTAATTACAAGCAATATCAATTTAACGATTAGTTCCCTCTTCCAACTATTCAATAGCAATACCGAGATAACGAAAATTCAAAATCTCTTAATTGAATAGCTATAAAACCTTCACCCTCGTTTGCTTGTTGATCCTTTGACAAGAAAACTTGTCAGAAAGCCCCGTCTCATTCGCTCAAAAAAACTGAGACCTGAGAAGGAACAGATAGAATATAAGTTTGGAGTCAGAGATAAATGTTCATCCCATCTAATAATTGCGTAAAGAAAACAGTTTATCCCAAAAATATTTCAATATTTCTTAAAAACAACATTCATGGTCAATGGTCCTCTCCTTTTTTACCACTACAGATTTCAATCTCAATTCTTTGCGTAAATCAATGATATAATTATCGTTAATAAATAATAGTTTACAGCGAAAATCGTTGCATCGCGACTTCTTCGAATCGTTTCGAAGTTCGTTTTGATTTTGTTCTTTCATTCGATCTAAGGGGCGKAGCTTGTCGTAAACTCGTACAGTCATGATCATTGGCTGATCTGCAGCAAACTCCGCCCCCAAGTCCAGGAAAAACCTAAATCCTATAGCGATTTCTTTTGAACCTTGAAGTCGTGATGCAACGGTTTCTGCTGTAATAGGTGGCCAATTCAAAACCAAAACCCCTTTGAAGAAAATCGAACACTTGTCGACGAAAAAGGAGGTCATGTATGTGATTGTACTTCTCATTCGAAAACAACCTAAAGTAATGCAAACATTCCATATAGCATCATTCAATCAATATATAGGTTTCTTCCCTGATTTGCTCGTCACTTCTCCACGCATGATGYAGTGATTATCACTTTAAAATTCAGAAGRMTCGAACTTAACGGAATCTACTAACAGACTCGATCTGGCWAAACCTCAGCARCTCACCAAGTGSMCCGAATCGGTTAGGGAAGAGGTATCCGTGYGATTTCTGTAAATTCAAAGCTTAAAACCTATGAACGATACAAAACACAATTGTGATAACGATAATATACACAGCAATGAGTGCTACTAGAATGCTTGTAAGTATAGCAGAGCAAAAAGGCAGACGTCTTTATCAGGTTTTTATGACCTAAACTACAGGGGATCACAAAGAGAGGAGTGAACCAGGTCGAGGCCTATGCAAAATCAGTACATTCAAGAAAGGGAAGGGCATTCTTTCAAATCAGTTAACACAGGAGTCTAGTACCATTTGATCATCGAAAAACCGCWATACRCWTTACTAAAGGGAATAATTCTGATAAAACCATGGAGTACAGTCATCTTGGTTTACTGTTGATGTTAATCGACTTAACAGGTATATTTTAATGGAAATGTGTGAAGGTGTTAGCCGGCGATGATGACTTTTCTCATTGTGTAAACGGAAAATCCAGTTTTARTTTTGGTCTGTCTACTATTTTTTGTGTTTGTGGACAGYTACAAGGAATGTGTACATCAGGCACACGGGACATGAATGCCAGTCCTAGTTGATATATATAGTGGTCAGCTATGTACATAGCAATCATCATAATGCATGGACACCTTGAAAATGTTTCTCACTCATACTCGTTTTGAATGACAGTTTTGATTGGAGAATAGTAGTAGAAAAGTTAAGGATTATATTAAAAATAAGGAATTAACCCCCGACCAAAACCAGATATGTTACTRCAACATAGAATGATGGCACCTGCATTCAACGTTGAGCGACGCTAAACATTCGGTTWAATTGTTCACTGGATAACATTGGATGAAGCAACARCGATGTTGGATTTACATAGTCAAAAATGCAGACGTAACTTTTATTGTCGTTGRGATATATCTTCTGAAAGCAGGAAACGCGCGCTGGCAGATCGAGTAACGTGATAATCCAAATAATGTCATCTTGATATTCAATCAAGAACAATGGACACCTGTAAGCTTTGGAAGCCATATTCCGAGTAAAGTTCTAAATTACCACCATTTGAAGTGATTTTAAACAGCAGAAATTTCATATCAGATATAGGGATACACAAAGTTGCCTCAAGTTGCAACGGAAGCCATTATCTAGTTATAAATTCAGTGTCTTAACATAAAAAGCCTTTTTAAACAGGAGTTAATCCCGGTTATTTTTGCATTTGTTATTTCCAATATTGTTCAATATAGAATTCTGAATATACATTTGTTGCGTGCCCATRAAGATCTTTTTGTTGTTATTAATAAAAAGTCAGGTGTTAAATCCAACAGTTTCGTTTACGAATTAAAGATGTTCGTAATTTTCAAGATGGTCGTATATGGCGATGTCTTTTTTGTAGAATGTTCTCCTTGTCTCTCAATTCATCTCAATTCATGTTATATCAGATTCCTCACGTATAAGGAATTGTAGTAAAGACAAGTGAAATGATCAAAAACATTAGTTAGAGAAGTAACATGTGTTTTATCCTTTGTCTGGTAAAATGGACTGATTTCGTTTTTTATGTCAAACTCTAAATACCTTGTAATCACTAAGGAACCTGCTATTTATTGTCAGGTATACTTTATTATTTGAATTCTTGCTCCCTTGTTTGGCGGTGCCACATTAAATGTGTGTCATGGAGCGATTTCACTGCAGAGTAACTTGACACGACAACTAAGCCATCGATTGCCCGTTTCTGGGTGCTGAAAGATTCATAAGAGTGTTAAGAGACGTTTTCATTTCTTATCAAATCAAATTGCTGTCTTAGTAGTTATGATACTAAGTACACTTTTATATAAGATGATAGCGGTGAGCCATATGAGAAGAGGGGGCCATGATATTTCTCCTTGATATATAAATAACATCTTTTTAGGGGGCATTCTTAGAATATCGTGCAGGGGACTACAAAAAAAAGATTAAACAATTTGGAACTAGATGAATTATGTAAGCTCCCTAATATTTGATTTAATATTTACACAGCTGGAAATGTYATATTGCATTTCGTGGGAGACATAAATTTTGACGGTGTTCCAAGCTACTACCACAGACACGGACATTGCTCCTATAACAATACCTTTGCAAATGTAGAAGCTGTGTTGAAGCAATCTGACCTTGTGATAGGGAACCTAGAAAGCCCGTTTGTGCGAGACGATATGCGAAATGATGCTTTGACTGGCGTGTTTCCAGCAGTGAGTGCTGAACCTAACAGCGTAGAAGCTTTGAAGTAAGTCTACATTAATAGAAGAGTATTGTTACACAAGGTTGTGGTTGGGTATATTTGGTGGTTGTTTTTAAGAATTGAATAAGAGAATTTTCTGGAAATTRTTTTCAATTTTCATGCTCTTCTAAAGCTGGTTTCACCGATCCTTTTGAAATCATTGTTTTGACTGTAGGAATAATGTTATGAAATRGTGCTGATTTAAYTACAGAYCAGCAATCCACTGTTATGAATATGATTTGGAWTTTGAGTGGAGACTGATACGGTTTGAAATGCTCTCAAACATTCACAGAATACTGTACAAAGAATGCTTGCAACACATTAGCTTATTAATTTCTGTGAGATATAGGGGAAAAAAAGAAAAACCTTTTACGTATTACCGCATGGAGCTATCAAAAAAATTGTTTYTAATTAACAATTTTAAAATAGATATGGTTATAAACTATTCCTATCATAAGTAMTCATCGGTTGCTTTACTCTTTCTTTGTTCTTATATTTGAGGAATCAATAATGTGCGTCTTCCCTGGATACGTCCTTAGTATTGCACTTATGGCWTTTTGCTTAGATTCGCAGGGTTTGACCTTTTGACATTGGCAAACAATCATCTCAACGACTACAAAACAAAGCCAGTCAATTTCACAGTAGAGATATTGAAGAATAATGGAATTCTGCCATTTGGGTATAATTATGGCAGTCTTGAGAACGAAAAACCACAAGTAAGTAGTATTCTAATTTAYTAAGAAGAGCTTTATTGACGTTTGYATCTATTGTAATTCCACCAGAATCCAGCAACAGTTGAGGTTAATGGTATCAAGATCGGCTTTCTTGGATACTGTAAAACGTTTTTAGTTAAAAAACCGAAGCCCACCGACAAAAATTTCTGTAACTGCAACCAGAAACGAAGAGGT